TGGTGCATTGATAAGTGTTTGCTCCATCACATTTTAGGGCCATCGCCAAGGTCAAGCCCTCGATTATATCATGCCTTTTAGCGTCGGCAGCCGTCTTCGAAACCAATGGAAGGCAAAATACGCGTCTAATAGTTACTTGATGAAAAACAAGGATTTGGAGTTGTTATCACGACTCAGCGGTCATGCAGCAGTGTTGACCACGCAACTTTTCTGCCGGAATCGAGCGACGAGCAGACAACAAGGCGACCCACAAAACATGTGTTATACTACACACTTGCACTGCACATTGTTGTAGTTGCGTTCAAATGAAAAATAATAAAATTGTTGATTCGATGTATGTTCATGATCGATGCACTAACCAGCACAAGTTAAAGTCTGCAACACCCTCATTTGTAGGCAGCAGTGGTTCCGTTCGCAAAGTATTTGGATTTTTGCTTGCGTTTGAATTCATTTGAATTGGGGGACGTATGTTGAAGTTAAACGCTTTTCTGTTAAATTTTACACACATTTTATAAGGATCCTTCTTTATGCAAAAAGAACACGAAGAAATGCACATTTCGCGGATAAAATACTTGCATAATTGTGAAAATTAAGGTATTATGCACTAAAAAAACACATTTTTATGCTGACATCAACAGTTACGAAAATGTTTGCTCATAGGAACACGCTATTACTAGATAAAATTTTAATGCATTGTTGAACATTTGGCCACGAGCATTTAAGATTTAAGTAAAGGAAATTTTTCCATATAAACTTTATCAAAATTGCTTTCTAGCTGCGCAGGTGTCCATGTTATGGTGTGCATACATTCACTGGTGCATGGTGCACTTTACCGGAGGATGTGATACTTTGTTTACGTGAACATTTGATGTCTGGCGGTCACTTTAAAATTTGTCTGGACCATGTAGGTGTGGACTGGCGTGCGAGCCACGCTTAGGCCTAATTACTTTATTCTCCTTGGAATGTATGCATCCGGCTCCACTTATAACTTCGTCTACCCGGTGGGGACTCCCGGGACGTTACAGCGTAATTGTAAAGTACTGGGTGTAGCTCCCTAAGACTTCCAAGTAGGTATTAAAGGATATTAAGCAGGACTGAATACGTTTATTTAAGAGGAGGAGAATTAGGGCAATTGGGTTGCGACTTAGCCCCAAGTCGAATTCATGCAAGCATGGGTAGTATAAATATCAAAGTGACTGCCATTCTTGCAGGTAGCTAAATACACAAGTGATACCATCGTCCGTCTCCCCTTTGGATCGACATCATCTGCTCTACCCCCACTACACCTCCTATGCCAACCATCACAACACATTTATTACTGCGAGAAAGCATCAGCGAACCGGCCGCACCAGTCATCACCTAACAAGACACTGAGAAAATCTCACTTCACTCTGTGATTACTTTTGGTAAGAAACCAGAAATCAGCATGCATACTTTTGTCGACCAAATCTGCCCAGAGCCAGATGTTGGAACCCTGGTCTCAAACAGATGCGCAACCGAGAAGATGGGATCAGACACGGTCCCCTAAGGATGTCATCGCATGACATTAATACACCATTTCAGTAAGGAGGATTGCAAAACGACTGCTCTTGCGGATAGTCCACAACGGTGTCGCTTCAGTTGTGAGCAGCTTGCCAATGAAACACGAGCTGGGGCGGATATTAAATGCAGGCATTGTTATTAGTCTTTCTGTAATGGAGAAGTTGGGGATTTTGTCATTCGAGCGCGGCCTGAAGGCCAACCCACGAGTACAAGGACCAGACAAATCCTAAAGGGCCCGCTGAACATCTGGCAATCACATAAACAAAATTGCGCTGTCTCTCCTTTTGAGCTACGTCCTCGGCACTCCCCTTGGTACACCTCCCGCACCAGTCTTCACAACATATTCGGTGCTACAAGAAGGCACTCACGAGCCAAACGCACCAGTCAACAGATAGCATGAGACTGAGGGACCGTACCTGGTCTCCTCAGCATCTTCAAATGGGTCTGGAGTTACTTTCGGTGTGACAAACAGGTTTAGGACCACATACACCCGTTGATCATCAATTGCTTTTAGGACTATACGGTGGAACTCCGGTCCAAAACAGATATGTTGCAGGGGAAATGGGATGAGCCACTGTCTCGCATATAAGGGTGACTGTAGTGTCATTTTAGGCATTTATACACGGATTTTGTATGGGAAGTTCGGAAACGAAACTTTTCCAAACGGTTCATGTGGTGTCGATTCAGTTGTTAATAGCTTGTCCGCAGAACACGAGAATAAGGTGCAACCAAATGCAGCCGTCATTCTAAATCCTTTCGTTGTGAAAAATTCAGAGGTTCCCCCGCCACCGAGGTAAATACGCCTCCTCCACACCGTACGTACATGCGACGGACGGTATACGCTAGGATAGGAGTAAGTGAATCTGGATACATGTATCCCAAAGAGGACAAAGAAATGGGCCTGAGGGTGACCCAACGGCCAGCCCACGATTACAAGAGTCAGACAAATCCTAAAGTGAGGGCCAAAAGTCAGGTGGTCACATATGCAACACATTACACTAACACGATCAGTCTCACTAATCGCTGCAGTCAGCGTAGCGCGCCTAGACTCTCCATTTGGTTGAGGCAGGTATTGAGCAGAGTCGATTATACGATTTCTAAAGCCAAAGAAGGAGAGAATGATACTTGAAATTCCCTAGTTTATCAACAGAAAATCTGATTCTTAGCTCAACTATGGGAACCGTACTTTAACGTAGCCTTAAATAACCGCCTCAAAATTGCTACCATTCTTAAAGCCAGTTAAACAACTACTATGTTTCACAAAATAATTGCATTTTCTCGTATTTAAATCAAATTTTTACCACTGTATGGCATATTCAGCTATTTTCGCCTTCAGCTGCCTCGACATCTAGTTCACTAAACTGTCTGCCTTGTTTTAGTTAGTTTATGTAAGGGCTCAAGGGTTGTCGGAGCTTTCTGTAGCACAGGTGCCACGTGGTTCTGATAATGGCTAAATCTCCTATTTTTTGCGGATTCGGGAAACTGGTGAGTTCTAAAGCTGTATTGAACCAATAGGCTGTTTTTGCTCTCCAACTTTAGTGTTCGGCTACCTACTATCCTTTCTAGCTTTTTGAATGGGTGTTCATGCTATTTGATGTTGCTCTTACACGCATTATCCAAGGTGGACATATGTGTATTGCCTAAGGAAGAAGAGGGATAATTTTTTGCTCGGCAGACTAGGGACCCTGTTTAATATTAGTTGCAGGGATATTGACTCTTCGATTCGTAGTTGGACTTCCAACATCCTTGGGTAACCAGTATTTAACATTGCTCGATTTGATACCTCGTGTACCTAAACTATCTTGATTTTGCGTAAGAAATCGAACTGCTTGAGCTTCTGCCGAGTGAAGGGCATCTTGATTCTGTGGGCAGAATTTGGGGTTCTGGGCTATTTTGGCATTAATTATTTAAAATTCTACTTTTTTGAATGTTAATAGCAAGTCATTTTTCTCATCTGTCCCGTGCATCAAGTTGCCAGCATAGTAGTGTCTTTGTGTCTGTCTAATCTGGTTAAGATTGTGTTTCTTGTATTCTCATAAGTAAGCACTTATACGCCCTAAATTTAAATATTAGGCCCTGTGGTCTTTGTTCTGTTTTCATGTATAGGCTTAGGTCACGCATCTGTCGTGACCTCAGACTACATGATGCAACAACCTTGATTACCTTGGCCTTACCTACTCATCTCGTGACGCCTCCAGTAAATCTGTTTCTTATTTTAGGTTGTTTCCGGCGACACTATAGTTATCCGTGACCGAGCTCTGGACGGTCCTCCATCAGCGCGTACAGTGATCCTCTCAAATATAATTTGTCCGAAGGTGGCCAAAAGGCCTTCTCCCTCTGGAGAGCCTACTCCTGATGAGCCTTTTGGTTGGATGGCACGCGAATTCGTGCGCTCAAAGGTGGTTGGAAAAGAGGTGTGTTACACTGTTGAGAACCAGATAGGTTCTGATCGTGTGTATGGGTCTGTGTTCCTTGGGAAGAATCCCGGTTCCCAGAATCTCACTCACCTTCTCTTGGATGCGGGCTTGGCCCAAGTCCGGCGTAGTATGAGTCAGGTTTCGATTGAAAAGAATCCAACCATACAAGCGCTTATTGTGCTAGAGGATAAAGCTAAAGCTGATCGAAGGGGGATTTGGTCTAGCTCTAGGGCTGGTGCCCCGCGCAACATCAGCTGGAACATTCCAGACGTTGTTGGATTTTTCAACACTCATTCGCGAAAGTCTCTTCACGGAGTGGTTGAGTTTGTCCGTGATGGCAACCTAATGCATATTCAGCTCTTCCCAATTGATGGGGACACCACTCCTACTTACTACAACATTGTGGTAATCCTCTCGGGCATCAAGACACCAGGCTCCAAAGTAGTTGAAGGTTCTCGTGTTTACGAACCTTATTCTCTTGACGCTCAATTCTTTGTGGAGTCGCGTCTTCTGCAACGTGATGTCACTGTCATCCTGGAAAGCATTAATAACAACATTAGTAACTCCTTCGTGGGCAGTGTTCTTCATCCAAATGGTAACATTGCCCTCTTCTTGCTGCGTGAAGGGTTAGCGCGTTGTTTGGAGTGGAATCTGGCTATTGTTAGTCCGGAGGCTGGTGGAGCAGAAGCCTACCGTAGTGCCGAGCAAGAAGCTAAGCAAAAGCGTCTTCGCATCTGGCAAGACCATGTTCCGGTGAATGCTTTGGAAGGAGTTGCAAAGGCTGCGAACAAGGGTTCATCCATGAAGACCGACTACACGGGTGTTGTGATCGAAGTGGGTAATGGAGACAACGTTCTTGTGCGCTGCCAAAACGGTGAGGTGCGAAGATTTTTCTTATCTAGCGTGAGGCCACCACGCGGATCGCCGGATGAAAGCAGGCCACAGCAATCCGTCTCTAGACCGCTTTACCAAGTTCCTTATCTCTATGAGGCGCGAGAATTTCTGCGAAAGCGGTTAATAGGGAAGCTGGTGAAAGCGGAGATCGACTACGTCCAGCCGAAACCGCAGGGAAGCACACTGGCTGATCGTGTGTGTGCTACGATCTTAGTGGGTGAGAGTAACATAGCTGAGGCTCTTGTGCATCGTGGTCTTGCATCGGTGGTTCGTTATCGCAATGCAACAGACTTGCGATCTCGGCATTACGATGCCCTTATAGCGGCAGAGGCTGCAGCTCAGAAAAAAGCCGTTGGTATCTTTGATCCTAAGGGAGCACCAATTCATCGGCTCTCTGAACTTGGAGGTAAATATTATGCTTCACATTGTTTCCATTGCTGTCGGCTTGATACGTAAATTTTCCTAGGTAATGTGGCGAAATCGCGACAATTTCTTTACTCTCTTCAACGTGCCGGTGCTGTGGATGCCCTCGTTGAGTTTGTTGCTTCGGCGTCTCGTCTGCGAGTAGAAATTCACCGGGAGGACCTCCTCTGTACTGTTCTTGCGGCTGGAGTTATTTGTCCTCGGCCATCTAGGTGAGGATATCAGTGTCTATACATTTTTTTGTAATAACCAGCATACCATTGCATTCCATCCTCTAATTTTTGTTTTGATAACATTATATAATCATGGTACTTGTTGCTTAGAATATGTTATGATTTCAGGATGTTATTGTCTTCTCCATCCAAAAGTAGGTTTAGTGTTCGCTTTTCTTTGTTTCTTTGTTCTTCAAATGCGTTGCTTTCATTTTTTTCTCGCTACCAAGTGAAGGTTCAGTTTGTTGCAACCTCTTCACTAACTTTCTTTTGACCTTCACAAAGGAAATTGGCCAATCAACCCGAAGAGGTGGGTGAACCCTTTGGTGATGAGGCCCGTGAGTATATCCATGATATAATCATGCAACGCGAAATCAAATTCGAGGTCGATGGGATGGATCGTTTGGGGAATTTAATTGGTTGGATTACTCTGCCCTCTGAAGTAAAAGTCACCGCGACAGGTACTAGAAAGGGGAAGAAGGGAGCACCTTTTATGCCCAGCAAAAACTTGAGTGTAGTACTTGTCGCCCGCGGATATGCTACTGTGAATCGAGCGCCGAATATCCAGCGTTCTAGTCACTACGCTTCACTATTGAAGGCTGAGTCATTTGCTCAGGAGCACAGCCTTGGTCAGTGGTCTTCCGAGGAATTTCGTGCCTCCTGGTCTACTGAAATTAATACGGTTGAGGGAGATGATCAAGATAATTCTGATCCTTCCAAAGCTGTAAACGGCCTACTGCTTGTCAAAGATCTTCAGAATGTGCGTCCTGACGTCGAGGTTATCAGAGAATCGGCCTTGGATCGAATTGTAAGCTGAAAGTGGAAAAGCAAAGTTATAATTTTTTGTTGATTTTCGTTTGTTAACCTTGTTTAGAAATCGGCTATCTCTGCACATGTGACTACCATAAGCACCTCGACCACAGGAACCAATAGCCTTCGGTTCTTCGTTCAGCTGAGCAATCGCACGGCCATGGTTAACAGTATAAATCACGAATTAAATTCACCTAACTACCCATCTGGGGAGGCCTCCGCAGACTTTCAGCCCAAGCGGGGTATGATCTGTGGGGCTCGGTACTTCAATGACAATCTCTGGTATCGAGCTCGCATTCTTCGTGTTGTGCAAAAGACTGTGACCGTACTCTTCATTGATTTCGGGAATGAGGAGACAATTGATACCAGTGATGATAGTGTCCAACGATTTGCAGCTCTGCCAAAAAATCTCGCAAGTCAAGAAGCCATGGCAACGGAATACCGTCTGGCATACCTTCAGCTTCCTCCTGATCCTGATGACCGGGAGGCTGCTTTGGATTGTCTAGCTCGAGAAATAATGGACCAAAATGTGAGTCTAAGGTCGCATCATTCTTTCTAGGCACTTAGGATCTGCAACTTGACACTGATTTCAAAACTCCCTAGATTCGTCTGAGTCCTGTCCCAAGTCCACCGCCATCTTCAGAAAAAAGCAACATTCGCTCCATTCCGAGTGCCGTTGTCTACGTGACTGGGAAACAAGTGGGTGAGGCCTCGAGTTCCACTCAACCGACGCCGGAAATTGTTGATGTGGGTGAACAGCTGTTACGGGATGGTTTGGTTTACATGGAGAACGTTCGCATGCCTCCAGACATCTGCGTTCGCTACTCAGAAGCTCAAAAAGCAGCTATGAGTACCCGCGCAAACATATGGCGTTACGGCGATTTCCGTGATGATGACATGGATTAGATTTGCTGGACTTTGGAGCTTCTTCATGTCATCCTTAATTTTTTCACTCTCTTGTGTGTTTGGGACGTCTTTCCCTCTGTGCATGTGTTAACAGTGTACAACAAATAACTTTGTATAATGTTCCTGACTAAGCATGTGGACGTATGTGCCTTCCTTCCAACCTGATGCCTAACTCATCAATCTCGTTTGATTTCTGAAGTTGCAGTTTCTCGTTTCATCAAATTCTGTCCTTACTGCTGTACCTTGTGTGGGTCTTCTTTGGGATTTGGATTGGCTTGAAGCCTCACTGCATGCATATTTTCCGTTTCGACAGTCATCTCCAAAAGAAGGAAATTCTGGAACTAGTCAAGCTGATCGTGTCGGTTACTGTTAGTGCTACGTTCTACGTATCGAACTTTTCTTATTGTCGTGCTTCATCAACTGTGGATTAATGGTTAAGTCGTGTTGGTGAGTGAGTTTCTGCACTTTTCTGTGCTGTAGTAGTGCAGCGATATGAAGTGCTAGGTGATGTTCTAACCGACTTATGCTAGCATTTGTTATTTTGGCTTTATACTTGTAGCTACATGTGAAGACTAAATTCAGCTCTGAGGTCTTTTCAATTGCAAACATGAAATGAGCTTGAGATTCTCATCACTTTATTTGCGAATATGTATTGATAATGGCTCCTGTAAGTATATATGACTGGATGAAGAGTTGAAGTGCATGTTGCTAACATGGAACGATGGATAAAGCAGCCAGCTTTCCAGTACTTTGACTACAGCGGATCGTGATGTGCATCTTGAATAACGACCTTGATTTCCATTCTTGAATAGTAAGCTCCAACATGATAGGGACAATCAGTGACTTCACAGTCCAGTCTTATGAAATAAACTGATCGGTGAAACCAGACTAAGAGCTGGAGGCCTACGGTACGCCAATAAAAGTTGAAAATTATGCTCTTGTGCATCACTCCATTTGATTAGTCTTATTTTATGGGGTATTTATTTTATGGACATGATTATAATAAAATGGACGGACCTATACCGTCTGCGTAAAGTGCTCAACGCTGTGAAAATCACCAACACTTAGGAAAACTTATGTCTAACAGGATTATCGGTGCAGATAAATAGTTTGATGCAATAAAACTAGCCGATGGCACGTCTTGCAGTTTAAGTACTTTGTGTGCCTACACAGTTGTTGTATCATGAATTATATCCAACCTTCAAAATCCAGCAGCTGTCATTACCATGGTAATGACAGGGATCGATTTTCCAGTGGTTTACAAAATTGAAGCCGTCAAATATTATCCATCAGCTGCACGATCAAAAATGTGTTCAGCTTTACATAGGGGAAGTCTTTCTTGTGTCAGATACCACAGTTTAATTAATGTCAAGACTTAAGAGAGTATACAAGAGCCTAAGGTGTGATAAATCTTAAAATCTAACGGTTCGATTGGTCGATTTTTCAAAAGGAGGTTTCCTTTAGTTTCATTTTTAAAGCCACTTTCCATAGTGGTAAGAAAGGGCAGGAGTGGGAAGGCTCGCACTCTGTCATCGTTGATTCAAAAAATGACCAGTTACAAAAACCCTCAATTACACTAAATGCTTATTCTCGAGTTTTGGCTGACTGATTTCACAATACATCATTAAAACGCTCTAAATGAGTCCCTCAAGGTCCAGTTTCAAAGAAGACGCCGATTATGTAACCTTTTTCATCACACGAATAGTGAATCCGTGTGGATAGGAAATACGTTGCTAGGACTCATGTGACTGTGCATAGACAAAGTGAGCATAGCGTTCAAAGTCAATAAAGTCCTCCTGTGTCAGTCCTTTCAGAGGTAGTTTTCCATCCTTAACGTACCACACGTATTCGGGCGTGTAAGTGAGGGGTGTCTCGTCCTCTCCAACAACATCGACTCCTTCAGTTCGCAGATGTGTCTGGTTGACGCAAGCGCGCTTGATCGCACCCCAAAGGGCATAGAAGAGGAAGGCCAAATGTACAAGAATTACTACGCCAACGACTGTTACTAGTGCCACGTTGTACACAGCGCTGCATTGCTCCCAAGCCAACTCCTGCTCCTCTATTGAAATTGGCGTTGCTGCCTGAAGTGGAGAACCGGTCTATTCTTTGCAAGCAAAATTAATTAACAAGAATGAACGGAAGTCGACATTCGCAATGCAACATTAGCCTAGGTTTACCTTCTCACTATATGGTTATGTTACTCAAAAAACCAGCGAAACAAAGTGGGACGAAATGCAATAAAACTCACAAAGGGAACGAATAGAGCGGTAGAGGGCAACTATATGGCATGTAAGGTAGCCATCGAAGTAAACAGCAACAACAAAGACCACCTAAAGCAAAATTTAGGAGGCACAGTGACACTCGTTAGCTTCTTGCAGCCGCTTCTTCGGGATCTTCAATCTCGAGTCTTAGTTTTAACCTCAGTGACATGGGATCCCAGTTTTTGGCATTTCCGTTAGCAACCTGACAACGCTTCTGTTCTTTTGGTCAGAGTTTCAGTAACAATCGTACAAACAAAGCGGTGGTAATTCCGTGGTTAAGGAGCTGAGATAGTTGTTTGAGAGGGTTCAGTGGATAGTTTGACATTTGCCGCTTGTCCTGCAAGTGACTTGACCTTTTACTGACTCGCACCAGCTACCAAGACTTTGTCAGCGTAAGTCAATCAAGTAGCCAAGTTTATCTAAACTGTGTGATCTTCGCTCCCACTCCAGTTCGGAGAATAAGCGATTGTCGCAACCGCTGCGGCTATACTCGACGACCGTAGGAATAACGTTTTAGCAATCAGCGTTCAAGCTGTTTATTTGTACGAGCAAAAATTACCGTCAACTTAACTTTAGATACGCTTTCTGCTACAAAGAGTGTTTTGATTCGAAATCAGACACTCGAAATCAAAGGGCTAGGATAGATCCTCTACTCAATACTAGTGACTGGTGGTAAAATTAAGACACGACCACAGGGCCTTCTAGTAGATATACCTCATGCTTCGCCAATGAAATGGGTTCCATTCGTACACATGAGCCCAACATAAAGTAAAGCGATAGCATCATGACATGACCAAAACCTGCCTCCTCAGTAACATAGAAGATCCTTTCTAACTTCACTTGACCCAATACACTAGTTAAACATGACTTGTACAATTGTTAGTTAAAATAATTCAAGGGCTGCTACACAACCCTAATTTGAATGCATCGTAAAGAATAGCTTGCCAGACCTTGGGGTGGAACCCGCATATCTGCATAGCCCCGATGTCGCTTTCATTGCCAAGATGTTCCTCGTCCTCGAATGTATCCACATCAAAAGGCTGAATGCTTGGTATTTCGGCAGAATCCAAACAATTCATCTACTTAATCGATTTTTTTGGATTTGACCTCACATTCAAGTCAAGAGAGTTACGCAAACGATGTACTATGAATTCAGGTTGATATCTCTCGATTCAGAGATAAAATAACATGCATGACCCCAAAATCCCCACTCTTTCATCGGAGTACCGAAGTTGTCCTTCAGACAAATGCTACCGAGGTTGGACGTAAAACTGCTCTCTCGAAAATAATCATAAATTTTACACAAACAACTGGCTCAAACAAAACAACTAATTTGTCTTGAGATTCAGATTTTCATCTATACTTGTCAATAATGCCTGAATTTTGATCCAATCTAATAAGCTCGCACTTAAACACCTAAGCACTTTTCATCATCGAGACGTCACCAGAACATAGACCGCATAAACCAACCAATTCTTGCCGTTGTCCGAACGTTTCTTTAACAAATAAAAATAAACTTGATCGGTATCAAGCAGTCAGAGGTTCCAGAAGTAACAACCAAAACTCGCAAAACCAAGACCTAAAACCCACACAATGTGTTGGTGTATAATCAAACAAAACTTTTCCATACAAGAAAAAGACCTTAATAGTAAGATTGGATTAAATTGGGAAAAGTGAAATTCCTTGTAACCAACAGTTCGTACGATGATGGCATCATAGGTCAAGCGGAGCATTGGAGGGAGCTTTTTCTGGGTCATCACAGAACACAAGATACATCCAAAATCCTAGTTAGCCCTCCGTCGCGTTCTTTGCTTGTCAAACCTCGCCTCCATTTCATCCAAAACCTTCGGTGTGTAACGCACCACAAGCCTCACAGTACCTAGAGTAAACGAGGCGAAAAGACGATACATAGCACACTAATATGGTTTGTTTTGACAAGTGAAATGAATGGTCGAATTACCTTGGGCCGATTTGAGCAGCTCAACGGCTTTCTCGTGGTTTTCGTTCTCCACAGAAACACCATTCACAGAGAGAAGTTGATCACCGCGTTTGAGTTTGCCCTGACGATGAGCAACACCACCTGGGATAATACGGCTGATGTATATTGGTGAATTCTGCTCTTTGCCCCCCATTACGTTAAAACCGAGACCTTCCTCTGTTTTAGGTAGCTCCACGACTCTCGGATGGGCGTGACCTTCGCTTGCTGCGAAGGCAGCAACGGTGGCTTTTGCTGTAGCACTTGCTCTGACCTAGGAATAGAAGCAGAAATAAAACGCGCACTTTGTCGGAACCTGTAACGTCAACTGTTTCGTAGATGTGCTCATATACTTCTCTGACCATACTGAAAAAGTCAGATTGAAGTATTCTTTGGAGGGAGGCTAATTTCGCCGGTTGCAAGTCAGGACATTTTAGCAAGTTGTCGATAAGCTCAATAGCTCTTTCGATATCTAGGCAGTAAATGTGTGGTATTCATTTACCCGACTGTAAATTAAGCGGCTCAGCCATCTCATAAAAGCACAGAAAGTAAGAACAGAACCCCACACGAAAACAAAGCAACCTCTAAATCTTGAGAACAGTTCAAACTAGAGCCTTAATTGGTACTTTTAGTCAAGTATCCCATGCAAAACGAGAATAATTATTGTGTATAGCGGCCCTTTGGATACAAAGCATTTCTTTGTTTAAAAACGTGCATCTATCTTATATGCAAAAATCTCAGTTGTAGGAAGCATAAAAATTACTGCTAATATTCATAGCTAAAGGAAATGTTCATCATCTCTCAGACCGTTTCAAGGGTCAAGATCGTCAAAAAGCGGCGGAAGGCGATGCATCGTAAGCACTCTATCATGATGTGAGGACTAAACCGTTTTGTAACACCATGGATCAGAACCGAGCTTTCGGTTCTTAAATTACTGTAAATGTTTAAGCCAGTAATTTTCCAATTCTTATTCGAACGCTAATCTGATGCTATTCCAAAGACACAAGCGCGCATTATTGTAATGCAGAAAAAAGGGAAAAAGAATACTGACATCCCCCAAGTGCTCGGCACTACTCTAAACGACTCATAAATTGAAATAACAATCTACTGAACTAGGATGAGTGGTTTGGATCACACGGGAGCTAGGATCATCAGCTCTGTTCTTTATGGCTATGAAATAGTTCATATCTCACAGCTCTTCGGCTCATGGTCTCCGCTGGCTGAAGGGGTCATTCAGTGCAACACTGCGAATCATATGTTCAGAGGACTTAATTGTATTCCGCATCTTTAGGACTAAGTTTATCTTCCTTGGCACTTATTTTTGTATAACATTTATTGCATGATGCGGTATTTGATTATCCTGACTTGCAGCAGTACGATTTTCGATTTGTTTAATTCTTAAGTTCTCTTAAAGGCTTAAACCCTGCAGAAATTTAATTATGTTTTTTATAAATTGTAACTTAGCAAAGGATTTTGGTGTGATAACAAAGTTATAAAGACTGTTACTTTCCAAAAAATAGGAACTTTTGTTTTAACGCTTCATTTCGAACTGCACTCGTTTCCCCCTTCGTTGGAGTATTTTGCTTCGAGACATGGATTACATCAACAAAGCTCGGGATCAGCTAAATAACAAGTTGAAGGAGAAGAATGCTTTTACGGATGTCCTTAACAAAATTCAAGATGGAACGGGTGTTAAGAAGGAGTACATTGTCTATGGTGGCTTTCGTTGTTGGGTCTAATGGTTATTTGCAGGTCTGATTGCACTCATTGGACTTTACCTAATGGTTGGATGGGGCGCAACGTTTCTGGCAAATTTCATTGGCTTTGTCTATCCCGCGTATTGTTCGTAAGTTTGTTGTGTAGTTCAATTTCCTCAGAATCAAAGCCATTGAGACCCCTTGTAAGGATGACGACACCAAATGGCTTACTTACTGGGTTGTGTACGCGGCCTTCGCCCTAGTTGAGACATTTACCGATATTTGCCTTTACTGGATACCGCTATATGCTCTTCAGAAAGTAAGTTAATTAGCTTTTGTATTTGGGTTTGACCCCATGTCTTCTGATGCCGCTTATCGAGTGCTATCCATACCTCTTACCTAGATTTCTTCGTACCAGATTTATCACACTATCATGCATTAGTACACTTTTTGCCAATCGAATTTCGAGCACCAGACGAAACGGTGTTGCTATTTCTGTGCTTCGCGTCGTATACCTATATCTCTTACCTATCTCGTTCACTACATTGGGTATATCTTTTGAAAACGAGGTGCATTTCTTTTTAGTGTATTTTTCTGATCTATTTGATGATTCCCGGAAGGTACAATGGATCAGTTTTGCTGTACAATAAGTTTATTCGTCCCTACATCTTGAAGTACGAGAACCACATTGACCGAGCCGCTGACGAGGTCGGCAAATTCGTTGACAAGGGTATGCTTATTTCTACTATACTGGTCTATCTTTTTTCCTTATGGTCATACAGCTTTGAAGTCCTGACTAGTTTTGATACATTGCGTCTTGTGTATCCTTTCTGTTTGTAAGTCTGGCGTTCAGTACTGCAGCCCGACCTAGTTTGTAAGTTTTTCCCTCATTGTGCTTGTCTTAAATTGGTAGGGGCATTTCCGCTCTTGCATCTTGCAATCGCTAACTTGGTGTTCTAGAGAAGCAGCCTTAGATGGCGTGATTAAAGTGTCGCCGCCACATCGTTGATCTAACTTTCTGTTTCCCTCGCGTGACAGCAAAGGCTGATGCTGCTGCAGCGATGGCTCGGAATCTTGTTCCGGAGACCCATGAATAGAATTCGTATCCATTTTTCCTCATTTTCATCTCTTCAACTTCGAAGTTTACCTTCGCCTCTGCTACTTCGCCTCAGTTCAGCTTCTTCATCCCGATGCGCGTTGGTAGCTTTTGGATTTACGACGGCGCTATCGACATTTCATCGACTTCCCTGCGTACTGCTTCCCGTTTTGTGTAACTTATTTCCCTCCTTTATCGCTGTTGTCCTTTGATGGTATTATACTCTTTAAATTACTTTTGTTTCTTTGCTTCGTTTTGATGCGCTTGCTAGTTCACGCATGTACTGCTTGGGATGCTGTATAGTTTAATGAATATTTGTGTGTCCAATATAGGACTTCTTAATTTGAATACTACTGTCCAGAATGTGGCGCCTTCTCATCGTAGTCGATCGACTCGGCAGCAGTAAATAGGGTATGAGTGACTACGGTGGTTCTTATCTAGTTTTAAACGGCTTTTCGGTGTCTTACCGTAGATTCTCGTATTTGATCGTATTGTCGGTGATATCGTGTTTTCCTTCCGATTTGAAATAATATAGTATGGGTGAGATCACGTGCATTGAGTTGAGGTGAATCGTGTACTTCTCACCTACACTTCTTGTATTGGATTGCACTCTTCAATAGAAACCTTCGTTGTGGGCTTGAAGGTGTTGCGGAGTTGACTTGTTGAATTACCCTTTGGAAGGTTTTTGCGCATCCTGTGTCCTAAAGCATGTGTCAAATTTGACGAGCCTTAATTTATAGTTTCATAAATGTTATTATGTGGCGGTAGGTTTCAACCGGTCGGATTCCAAGCAAGTTTGTTAAACTTAAGATGATGGGATAGCATAGGCACCTTCACACTTTGGATTGGGTCTTTGGGTGCCTTCAAACAGCGCAGTGTTGGAGTTAACTTCGCGACTGAATTTGCTGTCTGATGATGGTCCTATTAACTGAATAGGATGTTGGCTTTATTCAATCAGGGTACCATTCACGTGTTTCTTTTTAGCTTTGCATTATTTATGTCCTCACGGGTTTTGTCCAGGCTTAGCGTTGCCTTCCTTCTTTTGCATAACTTTACTCAAGTTGACCGCTTCTCGATATAAGTAACTATAGCCTTTGATGTTTGTACTTTAGGTCTTCTTACCGTCATTTTGCGTGCCTAAGCTTTGTTCCCATCCTTCATCCTTGCAGCTATTAGCGTATCAAAGTTTCTCTAGTCACTTGGACACTATTCTTCATTGCTTTATTCACTACACGGTGTCATAAAAGCTCACGTTAATTAACAAAAAGGGGTGCGAATTGGAAGTTCAGAAGTGGTTTAGCGCCTTGCGGCATCAAGCTCTCCAAACCTGAGCGACGGATTCGCATATCTACTTCCTGTCCTTATCAAGACATCAGCCCATTTTAATCACAAACAAACCATTATTTCGCTTGAATGGTTACAGTAGGGGAGGAAAATAGTGCCAGTGTCTATGAGACATAAGGCAAGCACCATCATCTTTATGCCGAGTAGCAAATTTGCAATGCATTCAGAAGCGTGGATTTAGTTGAGCTTTTAGGTTTGGGGCGTTTTATTGTCAACTTGGCTTATTCCTTGCACCAGTTTTACCGTAGAGATCATGATCAAAATGCAAGTTCAGGTGATTGAGATGCGTGCGCCACTTGCGATGGGCACTTTAATTCGCAGGAATTCCTCAATGAAATGTTTAGCCAATAACGTCACATTCAGCGCATTCGCTGGGTAATTTTCCTTAGCATAACTAGGTACGTTAAAGAGCTGTTTTACTACGTAAGTACAAGAGAGATGAGCAAGTTTCTGTGTCATGTGAGTGAGAGGTGAAGCATTGGTGGAGAAGGAGGACGAAGGGAAGGGGGAGGCGAAGGAGATCGAGGGTCCCCATGTTAAGGCGCTGAAACTTTGCTCTATAATTATATTATTATCTGTCATTCCTATTTTCGCACCATACGCTTGTTTTGCCACAGTCAATGAGTTTACTGTTCTCCATCACGAGAATCAAGTGACTGTTTTGTGAGTTTGAATTTAACAGACTTTATGAACAACTCGTGAATAAGCCTTTAATTGAACTAGCTAAGTACTCATTGGAACTCAGACCCAAAGACGTTTGTTGTTAGTGGCCGACATGGGTACGTCAATTTGATTGCTTTAACTATACGGTCCTGCATTCAGTGACAGGAGGAAGCACTAAAAATTTCTTCAAATGCCTTCAACACGCATGTTATGGTTGGGGTTAAATCTGGCAAAATCTTTGTTAAAGTCACTTCAACGACCTCAACTCTTCTTGGCTCCTTTCCTTGTATACACAGTAGTACCAATTTTGGTTTGGGAAGTTTATTGTGAGATTGAAGTTACCTAACTGACATTGAAACCTGTTTGCGCAAAATTTTCTTTTACCTTTCTGCGCAGTGTGATAGGCTGAGCATTGCTGTTTGTGTTCCTTTGCGAATAGGTCTTTTAAAGTGGTCGTTGCATTAGAGGTGTTTTGTGAAGCTCTGGCTCCACGCCATGGTTAGTGTAACAAGTCCATTACGATGTGTCTAGCTTTCACCTCCAAATGCAGCATCATTTGAAGGCTGGTCATGAAGCCACTACATTTTGAGATAGCATACGCTAATGGATCCGAGAAATGCACATCCTGTCCCATCTTGCATTGCAAATGTATCACTTGGCCTATGCACTAACCTTGCCTTGTACTTTGTCAAAAGGTCTTCGAGATAGGTGGCACATCCTAAGGCATATGGTTTACTTTTGATAACATTAGTTTCGTTAAATGTTAGGGCGTCGCATGCGTACGGCTTTGCATGCCAACTTGCGCCATGCAAACAGAACTGATTAACCTGGTTATAAGGACTCAAGCGATCAGTCCACCGAACAGCGGAAACCATTAAAGTCTACAAGGATTCAATTCATTCAGGAAATGTGAACCACACACAATGCTGTAGCGCCATGAGTCTACCTGTGGTGGAGGGAAGTCATAATAACAAGACAGAATGCATGGTTCTGATGTGCAAAGGGGTAGGAAAGGGAGCTCAGTAGCCTAAGAGTCCACGAATTCACAAAAAAAGTGTCTCAAGTGTTAGATAATGTTTCCTACAATTGATAAATGCCAAATGAATTTGAAGATGAGAGAGCTGTGAATGGCTGAACAAAGCCAAGAGATGAACGAGGTAAAAGATAAGTCTGGCGGGGATGGAGCAAGATCTATGCAACTGCAGTTTGCTGTTTGTTTATGTGCATGGCAATCAATTGCTCGTGTGAACTCACACCGCATCAGTGCGCAACGGGGAGCAGTTCTTCATTTTACCACTTTCCATGTCAAGCAGACAGCGAAATCGACAACTTTAAAATGATTGACTTTAATGAAAAAAATGGGTTTAAAAGTTGTCGATCAAGTTTGTGTTAATTTGGAAAATTGTTAACTTTCTAACTCGAAAGGTAGCGCTCTATGCGGAAGGTTGTTCAAAGCTCGCATTAGGCGGCAAGTCGCTTGGAGGCTGAGTCTGGTCTCCAAATCGCTTGAGAAAGTCCAGCACCCTTCTATGCATCAAAACGCATTTATATGGGATCGCTAAAATGATTGTAACTGCAAAATCCCAACAGCCCTTGACAAGGCGTTTCTGTTAAAAAAAAAACTGTGCACTCCTTTGCGATCTCAATTGGCTGACCCGTGACACTGGGGGTTGTAGTGTGCTACTGCTTGAATAACATTTCAATTTTTTGTGGTTCACTAAAGGGATAAAGGCAGGAAATGCGTCATGTCTTTATCCATTGTGATCCCAGTAGCTGTGTGGTAGGCTATGTAAAGAAAAAAAGTGGCTTCACGAAATGTGCGGACAAATTCGACTTCAGGTGATCTTACTAAAGTCTACTTTGAAAAGAAATTACATAAATCGTAAAGTGCACCCTTCAGAAGTGTTCATTTGAAAGCGTTGGAGTTGGCGGTTGTCACCTTATTCTGGCCATTGGTTGTCATAATTTCGCACGCTCACTCGCTCTAGTGCATCGTCTAAAGTGCACACGTGTGAGGACAATGGGTAAAACTAGATGGGTCACTAGACTTTCACATTTTGAGAGCACACTTAAGGTGATATTTGGTGGTACTTCGATGTGCTCATTACGATTGGACTATTTCTTCTTTTTTTTGCACTAAAACGTCAGTTTGCTTGCAAATGTGCTGCAAATCAATGTGAGGCAGCTTTCTTAAGTCTTTAAACCTAATTTAATTGTACTTTTATGCCCTCAGTTATTCCTAGTCAGAAAGTGCCGATGTTTTCTTGGACTCCCACAGAGACGATCACCGAACCTGCATGTGTCAAGCGTGGAAGTCTTCCAGCGCCACCCATTTCCACTGTAGGAACATATTAAAGCTCATGTTATAGTTAAAATTTCGTGTTTTGTTGCGGTGCCATTTCAAAACCAAAACGACTTAAGGTAAGAAAAGTGGAATGGCGAAAAAAAACACCACCACAAATGCAGGCAAATTTGTGATTCCCTTACAACACTGGCTGTGTTGATCAAGGAGATTGTCTGGTTTGAAGCTCAAAAGGAAGGGAAGGAAACGATACTCTGTTTTATTTTACTCCTAGTTTTGTTTCGCAACCATTAAAGGCGCTGTAATTGTGTTTTGCCGAGTGATGTGACTTCCGGGTCATATCTGTGTCCCTGCAGCCATCTGTACGCCGACGACACACATTCTCTCTTTGTGCTATGCTTTCTTTCGTCGTCAGTAAAGGCTTGGATGGCTAATCCTAAGGAGAGAATCCTCTTTAAAATAATTGTATCCAATAAATGGGGAACGAAGATGAATTGAATGAGTTTGGTGATCCTTCAGACCCATTCAGCGGCATACCTGGTTGACCTTCTCGATACTCTAGTGCTTAACTTCCAAGACATTTTCTTTTCAATTCCCTTACGAATTGCTTTCCGATTTCCATTTTTTTAACTCCTTGCAAGGAAAGCGCATTAGCTCTCCAAGTGTGAAATCACTCAATGTTGGCGACAAGA